CGAGTTCAACTTCCTACCAAAGCAGATAACTTACAGGATGTTGCATAGGAAAGCATTCAGGCAGGTCTTAAATATCTCCAGAGAAGGAGAATTCACAACCTCCCCAGCAGCCTGCTCCAATGCTGCATTATTCCCATGTAAAGAAGTTCCTTCACATATCGTGTGGAACATCCTGTGCTCACGTTTATGGCCAGTTCCCCTTGTCCTGTCCCCACAGACCACTGAAAAGAGGTTGGCAATGTCCCTTTGACTCCCACACTTAAGATATTTAAAAGATGACCTCTGAGTCTTCTTTTCTCAAGACTGAAATGACTCAGGTCGCTCAGCCTTTCCTCACAGAGGAGATGCTCCAGGCCCTTTATCATCTTTATGTCCCGCCTCTGGACTCTTTCCAGGAGAACCCTGTCTTTTTTGTACTGGGGAGCCTAGAACTGGGCACTCCAGGTTAGGGCAGAGTATATAGGGAGAATCCCCTCCCTTGACCTGCTGACCACTCTCCTTTTAATGCACCTCAGGACGCCCCTGGCATTCTTGGACACCAGGGCACACTGCTGGCTCCTGGCTAACCTGTTGTCCACCAGGACACCCAGGTCCTTCTCCACAGAGCTCCCTGCTAGCAGGTCATGTCCCAACCTGTACTGATAATTGCAGTTATTACTTCTCAGATGCAAGACTCTACACTTGCTTTTTTAAAACCTCATCTGGTTTCTAGCTGCCCAGGTCTTGCAGCACAGCCTTCAGGTATGTCAGCTACTCCTCCCAACTTTGTATCACAGGCATACTTGCTGAGAATGGACACTATCCCCTCATCAAGGTCACTGATGAAAATATTGAATAAGACTGCACCCAGCACCTACATCTGTGGAACAACACTAGTCCCAGGTCTCCAACAAGACTCTGTGCCACCAATCACAACCCTCTGAGCTCAGCCAGTCAGCCTGTTCTCAACCCACCTCACCATCCACTTATCTATCCCACACTTTCTCAGCTTTGTTATCAGGATGTCATGGGAGACAGCATAAAAAACCTTTCAACCTGTTGGCCACATTTTTTATGCACCTCAAGACACCACTAGCCTTCCTAACCATAAGGGCATACTGCTGGATCACAGACAACGTGTCATCAACCAGGACACCATGCCCTTCTCTGTAGAGCTCCTCTCCAGCAGGTCAGCCTCTAATCTGTATTGAGTAGGGTTATTCTGCCTTAGGTGTAGGACTCCGTACCTGCCCTTGCTAAACCTCAACAGGTTCCTCACTGTCCAATTCTCCAGCCTGTTCAGGGCTTGTTGAATGGCAGCACAGCCTTCTGATGTGTCAGCTGCTCCTTCCAGTTTTGTATAATCAGCAAACTTGCTGAGGGTGCACTCTATCCAAGTCACTGGATGAGGATTGTTAAAAAAGAATGTAGTGATTGCACAGGAACACTTTCTAGCTACAGGCTTCCACAACAGGACTCTGTGGCACTGATCACAACCCTCTGAGCTCTACCAGTTGCCCAGTTCTCTCATCTCTAATTTTCCCTTCGTGAATCTGTGCTGAGTACTCCTGAAACGCCTGTTCACTCAGTCTGTGATCTCAGCCTCATGGTTCAGAAAAAAGACAGCTTCCCTGGCAACACCACATATATTCCATTCAGCACTGTGGACTTGTAGTTGTTTATGTTATTTGACTAGTCATCTTCTACAGTAAGTAGCAGCCTCACTTCCCTGAATTCTACCACTAGCTACAGAAACCATGCCAATGAAGTCTAAGGCAAAGATGTTGAATACTTCAGCCTTTTCTTTGTCCTTCATTCTATGATATGTTACCCGCTCATTATGACATGCTTCATAATTATACTCCTCCCTTTTATCTCTATTAAGTTTCCACCTCATGAAATGTGATGTCACAAATTATATTCATTTTACTCTTTTCATATTCATCAGTTTCCTTGCAGGGCTTCTCCACTATGAGCTCAATGGTTTTTTAGCAGTAGTTTAAGAGAAACATACATGTCATATATAGGTCTCTGCCCTTCACTTGTGAAGTGAAACACAGCTTCCAGTAGTCATGGCTCCTATTCACTCCCACCAGTCTGCCCTACTCCACAGCCACATCCTCAGCATTCCTACACATCTCTCTTGGCCACCCCCTCCCAGCTGCACTCTGTTACCAGGAGCTCCTCATAAATTTGCCACTTCCTTCTTTCCCTCCTCAGAAACCACCTCTCATTAGCTTGACAAGTTACAAAGAGAGGAAGACAAGAACCCATAGTTGTGTTTAATGCAATGAATGCCACTGTTGAGAGATTAACTTCAGCATATGCAAGCTAACAGCACAGTTTACTAAACATGCTTGAAATATTAAAATATTCTTAGTCTTCTCTAGCCACATACATGAATGCTGGTAAAAAGGTGCACCTTAAAGGTAGTAAAAAGAGCAAATGAGAGTTACTCAAAGTTTGGTATTTGTTTGTTTTTTATACTTCCCAACTCTGACATATATGTCATTCCCATATGTGGGGGAAGCCTAACTGAACAGAATGAAGATACATAAGCAACAGAAGATACAGAAAATAATGCTCTCATCATGGATTCAAAACAAAAGTCAGCATGGTCTAGAAAATATCAAGCATGAAAGGAAGGAATACGCAAGTCTACAATCTTTTGAGAAAAACTGAAAGTACAATCTAAGATTAAAACACTTAGAGAAACATCTGTAAAACAATCTCTTCTACTGCAGGGCGTTGGCTTCATCTTTTGATAGCTCAGATCTTGAAAAATAAGTTCCAAAATGCTATCAGTAAAGAAATTTCAACATCACAACCAGAAAAAATACCTCTCTATGGCAAAGAAGCAAAAAGCACACGGAGTTACTGGAATAATTAAAACTATTTAGTTGCAGAAAGCATTGCCTTTTACTACTACTACTACATGTGTTATTTGTAAACGCTGTACCTCTGAACATTGTACATTTTCCTCAGTTTCAAAAGTTTAAGAGAAGAGTCTAAATTTAGCTTTTAGAAGTTCAGACTGTTCAACACTTTGCTTCAACACAGGTGTTAGTACCAAGTCAGAAATAACACTGAAACAATTCTGATAGCTTCCATAACTGATTTATCTTTAGCAACTGATGCTGACAGGAATCGAACAAGCTCTGCACACTAATCTAAGTACAATAGTAAAATATTTGTGAGGGGAAAAAAAAAAAAAAAAAAAGCTTTATTTTGATAGGCCTTTCAAAAAGTTAATGTTTAATTCAGTATCTAAGTAATATCAAAACCTATTTTGTTGTACTATAAATTGATGTAGATTATCGCATTTACTAAAAGCAGGAGTGACTAATGTTGCAGAACAGAAAAAAACAGCAAAAATTTGCATGAAAAAAAATCCTGAACTACACATTGATTTGAGCTGGAAGTTTTTTTTAAACAAATAAGTCCTACAAGTGCATAAAAAAAGTGCAATCAGTAACAGCCCAGAATACTGCTTACTAAACAGTTTTGGAAGATGGCAGGAAAGGCCTACCAATAATTAATGGGAGTGGACATAAAAATATAATTAAAGAGATAGAACAGTTGGGTCTTTTCTGAAAAACTAGAACAAAAAAACGTAAAATGAAATCAATCATCAAAGCAAGTAATGAATTGCCCCTGTTCATGACACTGCTTTTCAAGAATGAAAACTAGTTAATAGCTTTTAGATTCAGCACAAATGCAACTGCATGAAATTTAATATCCTGTTGAATTTAGAAGCACTTTTTATTTGTCATCAAAACCTATCTACTGATGAAATAGGGGGGCTTTTTTTAAAACATTTCAACTGTGAACTATCATATCTACATTTTTCCTGGTTTAGGAATAGTGTAGAGTGAGGATTTTTAGTACTTGTTCACTTGAGTATTTTGAACAATGCTTCAATCTAGGAAAGAAAAAAGCCCCACAAAACAAAAAACAAACAAACAAAAAACCCCAACCAATCCTACTACTGAGAATTTAATCTTTTCCCTTCCACTTTCTTATAAGCCTTTCAGAAACAACTTTGCTAAACAGAAGTCTATTCTAGATAATGGAACATTTATGATAGCTTTTGCAGAGCCAAAGGACTGGAAAAAAAGAAAATCTAAAGACTTAAGTAATCTTCAATGTAAAAGTATAGGGACATGCTAATATCGTGACTTAGAATTTGCAAAAGCATAAAGGGAATGTCAGACTGTAACAAACCAGCTAAACAAAAGAAAAAAATTATCTGATAATTTAAACAGATACACAGATAGATTAAAACCATATTGAACTCTACCTACAAGAATACTTCAAAATACCTTAGGGTAGGCTAATAATGCCTGTTTTCCATGTAATTCCGATACAAGCAATATTCAAAGTCATTGAAAATATCTAACTTGTAAATGATTTGAATATTGTCTAATTTTAAACTATAAAATGTGTCCTGCACGTGGCTCTAGGTCATCTGCTTCCTTAATAATACTGAGTTTGGCTTATATTTTTTAAGCTTGAACCCTGCAGGACTTTTCACGTAAATAAAATAAAGCAAAGTTACTTTCCTCTAGGTGTACTCAAAATACCAATGCTGTGATCAACAGTGAGAAAAATAATGCAGGCAATGTTTTTTGTTTGCTCGTTTGTTTTCCACTTGATGATGAGCTCAACAGTATTTCACATATTTTTTCAAAGACTTTGCTCCAGTTACAACTACACGAGTGCTGTTGCTCCCTAAAGATAAAGAATCAGTCCTCATCTCAAAAGCTTGACATTTGAATCCAAGATGAAGATGAAAGGTTTACATAAATCACGTTCAATTTTTCCACAACACTTAACATAACAGTGATTTTAGATGGCTGGATTCTGAGAGCCCAGGAAAACTGTTAGACATTCTCTATGTTAACTCGATTAGCTCATCAAGACCCCTTATGCTTTGAATCCTTTATCTTTTTTTCCTCATAATCAGCTACAAATATTATTCTAAATACAGTATACTCTCAGTAATAAAAAGGCCAACTTACAGGAATCATCCAGTTGGCCAGGTCACCATACTTAGACACCTGCATAGCTCCAAGCATTGTCAAATCAACATGGCCTCTGGCAAGAGAAACACAGTGTGTAATCAGCAGATTATGTTCAAGTAACAGCCCACAAATCTTTATGAGTTTTTATTTGCATTCTCATTACAACAATTTAAAAACTGCGTACCACAGAGGTAACAACCATTTTGTCACTCACAGGTTTTTCTCTTCCTCTAAATGCACTGCTGATGATTTTTCTGTCTGCCTACTGAGCCTCAAAAATGCTATTATTTTTGTCTGGGTTTGGTTAATTGCATGCACAGACAATCAGCTCTGAACTCATACTTTTAAGTGCACTCCTTTACATATTTACATACACTCATTATCTTTTCAGAGCCATTACAATTTAGTGTTTGTTTGCATCCAAACTCCTTCCCGAAAAACAAACAAAAAACAGGTGCAGATGGTGAATTTCCATTAGGGAGGTGGAATGAGGATCACAGTTCCAAGTTGAAGAAAGATAATACACTGTGTGCAAGTACAGATTAGATACTTGGAAATGACCAAACAGTAATTGTTAAAACCTAGTTATAAATATGTTTATACATGGCCAGGTGGTGGGAGACACAAGCATCACTATGGTGTCTGCTGGTTACAATGTTTTTCAATTTCCAATTGCTGGACCTAATATTCTGTAAATCATCACTCATTAAGTCCATGACCATTCTGCAAGCTGTTAAACATTAACCACATTTTGAAGAATTACTAATGACTTCAACCACTGAGTTTATTCTTCTAATGTCTTGTTACATACCCTCTTATCATTGCAAATGATTCATCACTAGAGAAATAAGAAGAACCAGGAAGAACAGTGACTGTCTCCTTACCTGTAAAAGAAATAAGTTACTGTTTCTATGTATTTTGTCTCTAGTAAAATAAACCAAAACTATTAATGAAGAAGAAAGTTTTTTTATGTATTTTTTTTTTTTAATTCTGTATTAATATGGACCCAATTACAATTATGAAATCACACATAAGCCAAATCAACCACAATAAGCTAGAAAGCAGTTTGTGTCTTCCTCCTGTTTGACCTCGAGCAATACCATGCAAGATAGCACTGACACCAGAGGTTAAAAAATTTCTATTGACTTTAGCTTTCTGCACTAAGGTAATTCTCTTCTGAAAGAGAGAAAGAACATCTTCAGGAGACAGCAAGATTGCAAGGAAGATTGAGCAGATCAAATTCAACAGAATCTACAGTGACAATGATTTAGAAAACAGAAAAATAAGTGGCAGATTCTAATTTTGCTTTCTTAAAGTACAAACAATAAAGCTCTTAGTGATGTGAAGTTCTTAGGTCAAGCAAGGGAGCTAACACAAAAACGTTTTACTTTGATTCTGTCCAGAACTCTTACTACTGCCAGCACTTTGGATCAGACTGAGAAATAAACCATGTATGTAGAGTGCCTGTGGAAAGTCACCAGAAACACAGCCGTGGGTAGAATTATCAACCAAGCATAGAAAATTTAGAGAATAAAATTTTAGACTTCAGCATAAGATGACAGTGAGAAGTAACAACAGCAGGGAACAGACATTAGACATCATTAAACATTTTCCAGAAAACAGGGAAAAAGAAGACAACAAGGAAACAAAGAGGCTGAGAAAAGTAAAAAGGAAAATTAAAACTGACAACTAAGTTATCTGTTGTAATTTGCAAAATTGACTTTACGTCTATTATACCACAAAGATTTTCTGAGGAAAACAAATTTGATAGACTAAAATAGTATAGAATTAAGGTCCTGCAGTCAAATCACAAAGAATTCAGCAAGTGAAGAATTCACCCAGACCAGTTCTGAGAATGCCTGAACTGTCCACCTATCAGGCTCCCAGTGAATGGGAGCGACGATGCAGTCTGTAAGCTGTAACCTGGAGAAAGAACCACACAAGAAAGAGGCAACCTACAGCAGTGCTGAGAAGAATGGGACACAGACTGAGGGCCAAACAACAGTTTAACAAGAATGCCATATTAACAGTTCTTGAAAATGCTCTCATAAAGTCTGTACCTGTAAGTAATTCTACATAAGGCAAATGCCTACCTTGAAATTACAGTGAACATAACGTATCTTGAATTGAGACATTCAAGAAAGGGGACAAACAACAAAACAGGTACTTCAGAAAAATGCAGTTCTATTTGCAGATAAAAATTTGCAAGAGCCTAAACTCAAGTTTATTTTGAAAATGTGCACTTTGAGGGCTGACACTGTATCATTACAGGCTAGGTTACGAATGTGAACAAAAGTCCTATTCCTTTGCCATTTAGCTTCTATTTTTTTCCAGTGCTTTCATAAATTTGGTGGAAAAGCATCCAGAGCAGTCTTAATCCAACAAAGTGTCAGTAAGGCTCTGCATTCTTCAGCAGTAATATCACTGATGTTTTGGTGACTGAGCAGATTCATCTAATCTTGTGTACTGTCTATTGCCCCTTCAGAGAAAGATGCTAAGATGCTTAACATTGAATTAGCAGTACTAGAATAATCTGACTTCCATGTCACATTCTAGTATCTTACATTAGCTACAACATTCTCACCTCAAAAATATTTATCAACCAAACAATAAGTCAAGATCATCTTTACATCCATATAAAAACACAATATTTTTTTCAGTCTTTATCAAGTTCTTGGCTATTTTTCCCTTTGTCACTCTGTTAGTACGTTCATTACAAATATATCAATACTAGAACTTATCATTAAGCTCTAATGAGGGTGCAGAGTTTTACCTTCTGTGATAAATACTTTTTGCTTTCAACATTCTTTTCCTTCCAATGACACTTTCACTTAAACTCTCAAACTCAATTAAATCATCAACTCAGCTCCCATGTGTCTGACATTTTCCTTTATACAAAGTATCTCAACCGTTACCTACCTACTGTTGAAACACAGGACTCAATTCCTTAATAATTTCTAATTTCAGATCAGAAGAATGCCTTAAATAACTTCTTATTTAAAACATAATACTGAATGGGGAAATAACATAGCAGTATGACAGTGGTATCAATTAGTTAAGCCAGGTAGCAAATGTTTCAAGTCAGCGGACAATTGCTGGACTGCACTATGATACTAAATTAAAAGCTTGTTTGATGTCAATGATTTATCTCACTTGGCTATTAAAGAGTTTAATTGTACTAGCTAATAGAGATAGAAAGGTACTTTCTACATACATACACATATATATGCAGGAGTGGTAGGGTAAGGAATTATTAATGTAATAAGTCTAAGCTTGTCAGGCACAGGCTCACGTTTTATACCATTAGCAACGATAAGAGCTTATAAGGCATCACATAGAAGAACAGGTAAGGCTTACTTCATAGAATCACTAAGGCTGGAAAAGACCTCCAAGATCATTTACAACAACTATCCACTTTCTAATACTTCCTCACTAAACCATGTCCCTCAGATACAACATCTCTTGAACGCGTCCAGGGACCGTAAGTCCACCACCTCCCTGGGCAGCCTATTCCATGCCTCACAGCTCTTCTGGAGAAGTAGTATTTCCTGATGTCCAACCTGAATCTCCCCTGATGCAGCTCAAGGCCACTCCCTCCAGTCCTACTGCTAGTTATATGGGATAAAAGGCTAATCCCCACCTCACAACCTCCTTTCAGGTAGTTCTACAAAGCAATAAAGTCTCCCTTCAGCTTCCTCTTCTCCAGATTAAACAACCCCAGCTCCCTCAGCTGCTCTTCACAGAATCACAGAATTGTTGGGGTTGGAAGGGACCTCCAGAGATCATCGAGTCCAACCCCCTGCCAAAGCAGGTTCCCTACAGCAGGTCGCACAGGTCGGCATCCAGGCAGGTCTGGAACATCTCCAGAGAAGGAGACTCCACCACCTCCCTGGGCAGCCTGTTCCAGTGCTCCGTCACCTCACTGTAAAGAAGTTCTTGTGCACATTTGTGCAGAACTTCCTATGCTGCAGTTTCCGGCCGTTTCCCCTTGTCCTGTCTCCACTCACCACTGAAAAGAGTCCGGCCTCGCCATTCTGCCCCCCACACCTCAGATACTTATAGACCTGGATCAGGTCCCCTCTCAGTCTTCTTTTCTCAAGGCTGAACAGACCCAGTTCACTCAGCCTTTCCTCATAGCAGAGATGCTCCAGGCCCCTCACCATCTTTGTGGCCCTCCGCTGGACTCTTTCCAAGAGATCCCTGTCTTTTTTGTACTGGGGAGCCCAGAACTGGACGCAGTGCTCCAGATGAGGCCTTACCAGGGCAGAGTAGAGGGGGAGGATCACCTCCCTCGACCTGCTGGCCATGCTCTTTTTAATGCACCCCTGGATGCCATTGGCCCTCTTGGCCACAAGGGCACACTGCTGGCTCATGGCCAACCTGTCATCCACCAGCACACCCAGGTCCCTCTCCTCAGAGCTCCCCTCCAGCAGCTCATCCCCCAACCTGTACTGGTGCATGCAATTATTCCTCCCCAGATGCAAGACTCTACACTTGCTTTTGTTAAACCTCATCCGGTTTTTTTCTGCCCAGCTCAACCCAACTCTTACCCAAGTAAGCTTACCCAACTAACCCAGTAGCTTACCCAACTCTTCATAAGACTTGTGCTCCAGACTGCTCACCAGCAGGTCATTCCAGGGCCTCAATGCCTTTTTTGTAGTAAGGGGCCCAAATCTGAGTGCAGCACTTGAGGTATAGCCTCACCAGCACTGAGTACAGAGGGACAGACACCTCCGTACTCCAGCTAGCAATGCTGTTCCTGATATAAATCAGGATGCCCCTGGGCTTCTTGGCCACCTGGGCACACTGCTGGCTCATATTTAGCTGAGCGTCGACCACTAACACCAGGACCAGTTCTTCCACACAGACTTCCTTGGCTGTTTCTTCAGCTTATCACAGTGCAATATAGAGGTCCAATTTTATGTGGAAACAGAACAGATGCAAGCACAACTTTCCATTAAGAAAACAGAAATCAGACCTCATTCAGATGCAATAAGCCATAACAAGATTAATGGCTGCTTCTGTAAGGCCCCTGAGCAGTAGGAAGTAGAGAGAAATTCAGCTGGAGAAATGCAGGGGAGGCATAGCAGGCAGTGTGACAGGAAGGTAATGTTCTTCCAGACAGAGCTGCTCCTTTGTGGACCTCCCCATCCCTGCTTTCACTATAGCACCTAGGACTTGTGTCCTCTCCTAAGAACAGGGAAAGCAGCCATCCACCTAGCCTCATCACATGACTGGCACCTGGCAAGCAGGCTGCAGCTGCCTCTGCAAGCACACATCTGGATATCATTTACACAACTCACTAGGCAGGAGGAAGCCAGGCTACCATGTAAAGAACCTTTACAAGAAGTCCCACAAATAAATCATCAAGAAAATGGTTCTCAAAGACGTGACATGAAAAGTAGCAGGAAAAGAAGAATGTACATTCATGTAACAGCTTCACCAAACAAGCCCACTTGTGGAAAGGAAAATGATAATCTTCATCACCTGGACTGGAAAAAGAGCTCCCTTCAGTTGCTACGACAATGAACAAAAGCATAAGCTAGAATATGTAATCCCTCTATTGATCAAAGCCAATCTTCACTTAAAAGACTACAAGAAGTGAAATGCATTAATTTATACATAAATAAATCAGGAGCTTAAATACCAAATCAAAATAAAGTTTTTATATCAACAAAGGAAAGTCACCTACCAAAAATTAAATTCATTTAAAAGATTTTACCTGCATTAATCAGGTCTGGATCAACTTCACTTTCAAGTGGATAAGGACCCTGACAATAAGGCAGACATATTATTTAATAACTTATTTACATTATGACTCATTTGATGTACAATTTCTTACTGCTTTATTATTTCTCATGCTTATTACTGAAAACAAATCAGCACAAACATGCATTCACACATTTTCTTTTCACTTTTGCACAACACAGTTCTTGATACAAGACAAAATTTACATCAACTAATATATCAAGACTGATAGATATTGCCCAGAGGCTGCTAGAATTACTACATAACCAGAGAGCGGAGGTACTTGTTTTTGCATTATTACAGCAAAAATATTATTCAATTTAATTTTTTTCCCCAAAAATTATGCTTCGTAAGCTATCCTAAAAGAAGTGGTCTCGTAAACCAAACACAAGACTTGGTCTCCAGGTTCTGAGTCCTTCCCATAAAACAAGTATTTAGGAACATACTTTAATTAGCACTATAATGCTGAAATGAGCATTTACACAAAGACTTTCTTGCACATACAGAATTTTATGATCATGCACTACTGAATAAGCTTGAATATGTTTTCTACCATAATTATTTATGGTAGCTTATGGGCAGCTTAGGGGCAACAGGGAGAAATAAAACCTAGCAGTACAACATCGTAAGCACATTGCTATTAAGTGACCGTGATATATTCTTACCAAACCTAGGACTCCATTTTCACTCTGTAGGTGAACAGTTATGTCTGGACTGATGAAGTTACTGGCCAACAAGGGGATTCCAATACCCAGATTAGCTGAAGAAAATTGGTCAAGGCACAAATAGGAACATACAGCACAAACAAACTTAAAAAGTTATCACTGTACTGTCATAAGAACTGTTGTCCACAAACACTCCTATTTTTAGCTGGATGTCTCACACTTGTGCTTGAATTACTTTCCTATTTGGACTGGCTAGTTGCATTCTGTCAAATATTTATTTAGCTAAAAAAGAAAATCAAAACAGTTCAAGTAAGCTACATCTGTATTGCACTTAACTTTTTAAAGAAATTCTTGTCAAACATTCAACACTAATGAATATGACTTCTTCTATATGACTGAAGAGGAGCTACAGACGTGCATGCACAATATCCCATCTGTTTCAATCAGGTGTTATTGAGAAAAGAGAGTTCCAGGCTCTGTGAAAGACGAACAATGAGTGTGATAATTAACTTCCATTAAACATAAGTAGCTGCAGATATTAGTCTAGCAAGACATCACTTTAACCTATAGTATGTCTGGAGGATACCATACATGCCGTCCTCAAACTCTAAAGCAGCCCGTCTGATGATCCTCTCCCTCACATTATCTCCTGCCTTTTGTTTGGCTTTTGAGTCTTCAGGCTTTCGGATTGACAAGCGCTGCAAAACAGGAGGCAATCATAATCAGAAATTAGCATCCAGATTCTTGCATCTTATGATGCAGAATCCTGATTTGTGATTGATGAGATACTTCATCTAAGAATAATTTTATTTATCCATCTCTTAGAAAGAATGACCTTTTATTCTAGCAGTTCAATCTCACCTAAGCCAGTGGAATAATCAAGATTGTTCTATGGCTATCACTGACTTTTTTATTTGGTTATATTGTCAAGTCTGAGAAAGTATCTGATAGACATAACTTGTTAAGAAGAAAAAGAGGGAAAGAAAGCAACAAGCATTAGTGCAAATACTAGCAAGTTTGAGTATCATTACTCCAGAGATATCCAAATAGATTTTTGAAATGTCAGCCTAAAATTCAAATACTGCTCCCTCCCTGTAATCATTCAATTCAGTGATGACATTCTAGACATGCACAAGATCAACAAATGCCAGTTATACAAAAAAAAAAAAAAAAAAAAAAAGAGGAGCTGGGCAACTGCATTTTCTCAGTAAGTCTACATAATCTCACATAAATCTGTTTGGTATGTCTTCCAGAGACTTACTGGCCTTTAACTGATGTTCTCTAAATCACGCACATAAAAATACCACAGTATTCAAGAAGTTTCTAAGACCTTTTCTGTGAATATTTCTTTCACATAAATGGTTTTCTCCATGGATTTCTCCCAAGTGTATAATGCTGCTCTAAACAACATTCTCTGTTGTACTCACTCACATTTTCTCTTCACATATCACTAAGACATAAAAAACAGATCTGGCGAAATTATCCTCTATTCCTTTTAAGGAACACAAAAGAAATTTTGCACTTTCTTTTTCCTCTATGTTAGAAGTCTGTCTCCTTTTCAGCAATCAGGATCAGTCATTATCAGCTCTCCTACACTTCCTATTAACTTTCTTTTTATGTCCAACATATTTTTCCTAGAATTGCTTCACTTGCGCATTTTGAAAAAATTAATAACAATCATGGAAGATTTCTGTGTAGCAAACAGAAAGCTGGATAGAAAGGATGACAAAAATACGATGAGGGACCATGTGTGAGCCCAATTAGGCATGAACTGCTATTTAAAGTCAGTATGAATTATGACAGACTAGGTTCTCTTTATTCCTTTTCTCCCCATTAATATTCATCCTCATTAATGCTTTCATATGGGTAGACATTCCCAACCGATGTCGGTTGCTCCAAAAATAATGCTTCCTATTTATTTCCATGGAAACTGTAACAACCAAGAGTTCAATAACACTATATGATAGAGCAAATTCTTAGCTACAAAACACTGTTTTTCAACACAGTCACCTCTGTGAACTACACATTTTCATCAGCCATTAACAAGAGCCTGCATACTGTGTCTCATACAAACTGCATTCGTGGAGGTAGCCCACCACCTCACTGTGCCTACATCCACTGTTTGGTCTCCAGAAACATTCATCAAGCATTAATGAATGTCAATGGGTGACTTTTTATCTGCATGGAAGAACTCAGTGACACACCTTTTCTTCACACACATTTTCATTTCAGACACCATTCTGTCAGGCTCCCCTCTGCTGCCATCTGTCACACAGAAACAAAACGGAAAGGGACACCAGTGGGAAGGTTCAGCCTCTACTGCCATATCTCCAACATCTGTCTCCATGAGCAAATATAACAAAATAGGAGACAATGCTTTTGGAACAGACCTCATTCTATGATAGAAAAGTATGAATAAAAGCATTAAAAAAATTAATCCCTGTTACAACTTTGTTGTATAGTTTACAGCAGCATATCTCCTTCTTACTTCGTTTTTTTTTGTAAGAGGGGGCAGGTGCCTATGCACGTACCCAGTCCCCTTGTTCAGACTAGATAATCAAGCAGCTCATGTACTTTTTGTAACTGTCCTCCTTATACAAAGAATCAACACTTTACCCACTGCCGAAGTCCAATAAAAACAGAAACTTATTAAACACAAAATGGATTTCTTCCATGAAAGTCAAAAGCTTTTAAACTGTGATATTTCAAAAGGAAGAAGCAGGGCATTCTAACAAAATATATCCAAAGAAAAATTTTTTTAAAAGGCTTAGTAGTCTGTTGCTAGTCAGATCCTCAATCACCTGCTTTTGCAGAATGAGAACTTACAATAACAGTTACAATAACAGATACAATAATAATGTCCCTTTATACATTAACCTAAATCAGCTTACTTAGATCAAAGTCTTTGTAGGACTACTTAGTATAAATTTAAGAATAAAATAATTTTAAAATAAAATAATTATATTCCCTTTGTTCAGCTTTTTCTTTCTGTCAAGGTGTTTCTTCCTTGTATTATGTGTCTCCTCCTCCACGAGCTCGTATAACAACATTCTTAATAATTCCACATCAAGACTACGGACACATCAGAAAAATACGCAGTTTTGAATTACACTTTAAGAGCTTTGTCACATCAACAAAATAAAAAAGAGGGACAAAGCTTGAGTGAGATAGAGCCATGGAAACAAAAAAAAAAAAAAAAACACAAAAAACAAAAAACAAACAACAACAACAACAACAACAACAACAACAAAAAAAAAACCACATGATGATTTCCTTCCAAGTTTTCAGTGTTTTAATATTATTACCTCAACTTTTATTAAGTATTGGCATATTTTATTCAGACCACAAATGTCACTGTGTAAAAAATGTCCCATTTAATGAAAAGGAAAGAAAGGTTCCAGAATCTCCACAATGTAATGTAATCCACTACAAGGCACAGAAGAAGCTGCAACTAGTTCTACCTGTCCATGTAAAAAGCTTCCCAGTAGAAAAAAAAGAAACATTACTGTTAAAATCAGCTCTTAGTACAGGTATTTCCCTTGTGTCTACAGGAGGTGATCTGGGAGAAGAAAGAAGAATGAAGAAGGATTTTTCATCATCAGATTTTCAACTGCAATAAAGTGATTGAGGACGCAGAAAGTTATTCTAGCTCATTTAGGGATTGAATAAGAGAGTCTGAGGCATAAAACACGAAGTTCAATTCTCAATACTCCACCAAGTACTTAAGTAAATACATAAACCCCAGTACTAAGCAAAACCTGGCAAGTTTTCATTGCTAACACTTAATGGCTAGCGTAAGAATCCTGTAAAAATTCTAAAATACTACTGACACTGAAATGTGATCAATAAGAAGGGCTACTTACTTCAATTCTCTTTTCAAACTTCTCTCCCTGTATCAGGCGATCAACATAGATTTTGGGAACATGAATATCTTCTGGTGCAAATGCTCCAATATCAACAATTTCTTCCACCTACAAAAGTAAAAAAGAAAACAAATATTTACAAACAATATGAAAAGAGTGATAGTTAATGAGTATGAGCAGTTAAGTGGACTTAACTAAAGTGGACACCAACAAAAACCAACGAACTGGACAAAACAGATAATCCCTTTAAAATAGGCTACTTTTCATGGTTAATCTTTCCTCTTCTTTCATACATAGCAAACAGCACAATTCCTTAGAAGGATATTTTACATTTATACTCAAAGCAGTTGATATTTTAACAGCTCAATTTGTACAATCACCATACAGAAATATACCAAGTACATGGTACAAAGTACACGTCAGTTTAGAAAAAAAAGTACAAAGTCACATTTACAGTTTACACCCAAATAGAAGGAAATGATAAGCTAGACAAGAAGTTGTAGTACAAAGCAGAAGTATGAATTTAAAAGTTACAAACTAACAAGCTACCTTAAAGTTTCATAGAATCATAGAATCACAAGGTTGGAAACGACCTATAAGATCATCCAGTCCAACCGTCTCCTCGTCACCACTGCCACCATAAGCACTCAACCATATCATGCAGCACGTCATCCAGACGCCTCTTGAACACTGCCAGGGACGGTGACTCCACCACCTCCCTGGGCAGCCATTCCAGTGCCTGACCACTCTCTGAGAGAAGAAGTTCTTCCTTATGTCCAACATAAACCTCCTCTGATACAACTTGCAGCCATAACAACTTGTTCTTTGCAAGACATTCAAAACAAAATTAAGACTTCTGAACTGTAGCAACTAGTTGCAAAGATATAGAAGCTTCTACAGTTAGTGAAGCAAATTCAACAGAAATGGCACCTACACAATACATTTAAAATGTGACCTAACTGGAGCACCATAAACATTTTCCTTCTGACTATGTCTGAATTCAGAATGCTCTAGGTGGGGATCCTGATATTGCCGCATGCCTGCAGCAGTACCTCAGCCTCATCTGAGGCTCAAAACCTCAAGAACATAGAACACATCTCAACAAAATAAACATCTCCAAACAAAATAAAACTCATAAAACTCACACACATACTCTGCCTGCATCCAATCACAGAGAAAATGTGTTATTACTATAATGCTAAAGTCATAAATTGAAGAATGTCTGAAACAATCTACTCATAAGGAAATTAAACAGCTTCCAGACTGCTTCATCATCAGAAACTAATTAAACTTTCAGGAATCTCTGAAAGAAGTCTAAAAATCCCCAAACAAGACCCTGAGCATGACATATCAGTAGGGATACATCATTTAGCAGCCATCACCAATGAAGGAACATTAAAGAATTTAAAATTCGATTTGACATCCAATTGTTACTACAAAATGTGATCAACATTAGAATCTATATAGCATTTCTGAAGGATAATTACCTCCCTACTGTGTTTCGTTCTATGACAACAAACAAAGAAATCCACCATAAAAGCAGCAAAGGGAGAAGAAAAAATTAAAAAAATAGAGTACAATAAAAAGAGTGCAGCCGGCATGTCAAAGGAAGTGACCCTTCCCCTGTACTCTGCCCTTTTGAGGCCACATCTGAAGCACTCTGTCCTGTTCTGGTCTTCCCAGTTCAAAAAAGACAGGAAAATGCTGGATGGTCATAGAGATGATGGGTCCTGGAGCATCTCCCTTCTGAGGAAAGGCTGACGGACCTGGGTCTGTTCAGCCTGGAGAAGACTTAGAGGGGATCTTAGAATCATAGAATCATAGAATCACCAAGGTTGGAAAAGACCTAAAAGATCATCCAGTCCCAACCGTTCACCTATTCCCAATAGCTCCCACTAAACCATGTCCCTCAACACAACATCCAGCCTTTCCTTGAACACCCCCAGGCTCGGTGACTCCACCACCTCCCTGGGCAGTCCATTCCAGTGCCTGACCACCCTTTCTGAAAAGTAATACTTCCTCATGTCCAGCCTGAATCTCCCCTGCCATAGCTTGAAAAGAAATAGAAATATCTAGAAATTAGAAATATCTAGGAGGTATCAATCGTACATTTAATTGTGTAATTAAAATTAAGTATGTCAAAATACTTACATAGCAATATAATACAACTCTGAAAAGGGATTATAAGTTTATGTGTAATGCCTGAAAGATCATTCTGTTCCCCAAGTGAAATTGATCAGGATGTCTACGTGAAAAAGTAAAAACTCTGAAAGGGAGAGCAGAAACATGATTTGATGATCTAAGTGAAACACTGAAAATTGCTGGCAGCCTAACTCTTGTAGTGTTGCCTACACTGCCACTAGAGGTGAAGCTAGGCCTACAAAAGTGAAATGGAAAATCCAATGGCCATGGGAACCAGCACCTTCACTTTCTAATAAGCACTACTGTGACCCAGTAAGTCACAGCAAGACAAAACCCAAACATCTTTCTAGATAAGATCAATAATCTAAAAATAAATAGCTCTATAGCTGGGTATATTCAGTTCTCTTTAATATTGCAATTGTAATATTGTAATTTAATATTACTCCCTTGTAAGTCTTTTTTGTATCACATCTACAGTCCAATCCTCAATCACTCACAGATACAAAGGAGAACATCTGTACTAATAATCAGAAGGTTGTGTACGAATTTTTAAAAAACATTTTTATTGTTAAGTTTTACTCTCCATTTTATTTATCCTTCTACTATTTCTCCCACATACTAAATTTACCTTACCTTTATTTGCCACATACAAATTCCTATACACACCTAAAATCATCATACAACATCCTACCAAAGAGATACAAAATGTAGCAAAACATTTAAAGATAACTAATCAAGGCAGATTACCTCCTGTACCTTTTAAATTGTTAAATCAAAATATTTTGGTTCTATTTTGACTGTCCTAATCACTTGCTCACTTTCAATCTTAATCCCAAAGTGATAGAAGGTAGAAAGTTTGTACAGCTTTCCTGTATCAGCAAAATTAAAGAGTAATCTCAAGACCATATGAGATGAGTTCTCTCTTCCAGTAGGCTCTGATTCATGACTCAAATATTCTTTCATTGTTTCAAGAGTTTCACATTATCAGTTTCCTTCCTGTGTATATGTCCTTGCAAATCTTGCCTGATTGTTGCCAATGGAAGTCATTGAAGTCACATGGAAGTAGAATGAATAAACTCAAACTTTCTGAATAGTAGTTTATCTGCAAGTACAACATAAAAGCTGTCCCCTGCTATGATTCACAAGAGTGTTCTGTCACTCATGTTGGTATCAGCACTCATAGAATGAACGGTCACTTGTTTAAAAATATCACTTCCTTCTGTAATTTACATCAATTTTCCCCTTTTTAAAGTAGCTTGGTTTACTTTCACTTAAGGAAATTCAGCTAGTATTCTGAAGTTTTAACTCAGAGTTTCTAAGGACTTCTAGAGAAAGAACAGGAACCTTGAAGGTTATAAGCTTCCAGTAATTAAGATAATGAACAGCATTCTTGATCAAAAACTGGAAAAGAAGTTGTAATTATACAACTATTCATGTAAAAATGCTTGAACCTAGAAAGACTTTTGAGTACTCACTTTTTAACCAGTTTCTGCTGCCTAATTACATGCTTTATGATATGTGAAAAAATTTCAGCTGTTTTAAATGTTTTAATAAAACTGAAGTATAGCCAGACAAGAATACATAATTCTTTGTTATACAGGAAAAAAAAATATAGTCAAAAACAGAACTAGTGGAAAGAAGAAGAATTCCTGAGAATGAGGAGGGGGATGGGAAAATTAGCAAACCTACACATTTCTAAATTGCTTATTTTTAAAGTAGCTTTATTAAACCCCTACAAAATTATATCCATTATCACAGTACTCATCAGTTCATCAAACTGAAATAATAAAAATACTCAGTAGAATGGAACTAGAATAAAACATGTCAACAAACAATAGAAGAAATAAATTTACCCCCTTAGATGCTAGGTAGAACCTTATTTTAATACTTCTTCAGTTTACTGCTCAAAGAGTCAGTATGTCTCTGCAAAATTCATTGCAACATTTACAAAATCATTAGAAGTTTAAAAAACAAAAAACAGCTAAGAGGAAAAGTCATGTCTGTCTGGTCTACTGAAGAAAAGTCTGAGTGAAGGTAGTCAGAAACTGTGATCAAACATTCCCCATGGCTAATGACAAACAATTTAAAAAGTCTTAATTATTTTAGTTATTTAGATTGAACTTTCACAAAAAGCTTTAGTACTGTAAAACAATGGAATATACTCTGAAGACTGCCAGAGAGATGGAGGAAAGAGCAAAATAGGTTAATATTCAGTCATTTCTGTCTGAATGCAAGGAGGTAAAAGAGATGTTCTGAATTCTGTTCTGTGCTTTCCTAGATCTAAGATCAGCCACACCATGAAATTTCAATTCCTGCCAGCTTTCACTGTAATGAAACAGCCATCAGTCAATAAAAATTCCTGAAGCACACTTTCAAATACTGAAAAGCAAGCAAATGCTAAGTCATCCGATAAAAGCAGGTCTTAGAATGAATGAAGTTGCCAGACTTAGAATAAACTTTTTAATAAGTGTACGGAGGAGGTGCAGGGGAACAGCAGAAATCTAAAGTTCAGTTCAGTTTCACACTGAGGCTAATGGCACTGATATAATTCACTCTGAAAGACCTTTCAGTCCAGTAACCCTCTTTCTTGGTAAAGAATGGAAGCTTAAAGAACTACTTTTGGTTATTCTACCTGGTTTCTTGTCAACATGCAGTTTAGGAATCTCTGTGGTCAAAGGCTTGGCATAGACCACCTTGCGTCATAGTTTCTGATGAACTCTGAACTTGTCAAAGTTTCCTTGGCACCCAAAACATTTTGTACCACTGCATTTCTTGTGCAAAAATATTTTTCATCATGTCTTGTATTTTCACTGGATGCTTCCTTTTCTTGCAATACAGGAATAGCAGGCTCTTTGTCTGTTCTACATCAACGAAGAATCTATGTACCTTAATGCCTTTCTGCTTTCTAGTAGACTGTTACTGTCTCTGAACACTGCAGATAAAATGCAGTGAGACATGTGGCCAGT